AATTTATTTTCAAATAAATTCTATATAAATAAGTAGGATAGGAAAAAGCACACAGGGAATCTAAAATTAAAAGTTTGTTTGGATGAAAATTGATCTACCAACCCCGCTGTACCTGGTGCTTTGTCCCTTAAAGGGGTAGTTTGGATTTTTTAAAGTGGGGTTGTATGGGGTACTTATCTATAGTCAGTGTATTACACACAGTAAATGTCAGTCAGCATCCCCCCAGTTTGGAGAAGCAGACTGGAGTCTGACACAGAACCTAAGCAATGTACTGCTGTGGAGAGGTCAGCTACAAAATGTATTTTAGCCACCTAAAGAAATCAACATCAGATTAAATGTGCACTATATTGTGACTATTTTTACTGCTTTACCTTAATGTCCACTGTCCTGATTTATGCTCTTGTCAAAGCCAGACTCCATTGATGATTTTAGCTTGCTGAACATGGGAGCAGGTGGTCTAGCTCTGCCTCGTTCTGTTAGTTAGTTTGTGTTAATGTGTGACTTTGGTGAATCTGAACTAACCCTTTTAAACACCGAAGTCACACAATAACACAAACTAACTAACTGTTTGAAGCAGTAGTAGACCAGCAGCTCCTGTGTTCAGCAATGTTAAATCACTGTTTTTCACAATGGAGTCTGGCTTTGAAAGGAGGGATATTCAACTTAATTTCCTTGTTGAAAATAAATATCTGACATTAAGTAATGCAGTTAAAATACTCTAAATATAGTGTACATGTAAACTAAACTGAGGTGGGCCTTTGTTAAGTGGCTAAAACACATTTTGTTGCTAACCCCATAACAGCAGTGTATTGCTTATCTTCCACATTGGAATCCAGCCTGCTTCTCCAAAGTGGGGGCATGTTGACTAACATCTACTGTATGTAATATACTATCTGCGAATGAGTACCCCATACAACCCCACTCCAAAAAAATGGAACTATCCCTTTAACTAATGCTAATGCTAGCTAATATGCTACTAAATGGTTTTGCTCATTCTTATCCAGCTAATCCAGTTCTTCATTATCTTGGCTTTAGTTTTCTCCAATACCTTTTTTAAATGAAGAGAAAATATATATGAAATGTTTAAACCAGCCCTCATATGTTTGGCTGTGACCCTTAACAATCTTAGCTTCTAAACCAAAATGACAGAACTAATGCAAAAGTGAGATTTAAAAAGACAGATGGGATGAAATGTGTGAACCCAATTACAATTAGATCTGATGTGCATCATTGCAACTTACTCCACCTAAAATGAACAGGCATTTTGGTGCGTTTCAAAGTTTCCATGTTTTCCTTGTGGTAAACTAAGTTTAGCAATCCATCCACTTTAAATGACTGTTTTACTGGTGCCTCTGTGGAGAGGAGCAACATATGAGAAAATGAGTTCACAGATGGGTAGCATTAAAATGTCTCGTTCATGATGCATTTCCCTTTGAATCAGAGTTGAAGGAACTGCTGCAACAAATAGCTTCAGATGTATCTTAGCGAGCTCTGAAGAACTCAAATCAAAGACCCCATTTCCACCTGGTGTTAATGTGCAATCTGGATGTGGATGTTTAATCTGGATAAGGACAAACATGTGTTGATGAGGGTGTAAATGCAGACAGGAAACATGGAGTCAAAGAGTTAGCTAGAAGCAAGATCAGGTTACCACAGTGGGAAAAAGGACCGTGGCTCTGGTGCGAATTTCTTACATTATTATGTCAGATTGCCAAATTAATTTTTAACAAGGCACTAAGAGGAGAGCAGTCTTGTGTTGGTTACTTAATGATGACTGCAATGGAGAATGGGCAAAAGTATCATAGTGGGTTGGATGGAAGAGAGACGATGAAAATGAGATGATGAAAATATGTCGGGGTGAAATAGTGAATGTTTACTACAAAATAATTATATTTCTGATGACCTGCCGATGGATGAAAAATGGCCAAATAAAGCTGCCTCTGAATCTAGTTTAACAAACTCAGTGACCATGACTGATCCTGTGATCTCAAACTAAACAAAAAACAAAAATTACCTTCTGTTGGCCAGCGAAGACGACATCATCAGCACCATGCAAGAGCCACATGACAAAGTCACATGATGTGCACGCACATGATCGGTTGAAAGGAAAATACAGGAGAAGGAGGGTGGGGAGGGGCGGGGGGCGCAGGGGCACATGGAAAACGCACAAAACATTTGTGAAATGATGAAAACATGTCAACGGAATAAACAAATGAACAAGAATGTTAAAGACAATATCACAGAAAAGGAACACAAACAACCAAGAAAAATACAGAAATTGTTGAATTTTTTGTTGAATACATATTAAAATAAATACGTTGCTGAATATATGAAGCAGTTCCAGACTTTAAGTTTTGGTTTATGGAAATATGTCAAAAAAATAAACAAAACAAATAATGTTAAATTTGGATACAACCAAAACTGGACATCTAGAATTGCCTCATTCATCCAGAAAATTAACAGCGTTTCCTCTGACAGATTTCTTTTCGTCCAAGTTTTCCATAAAAAGCCCAATCTGAATTTGAACTATAGTCAGTGCATGACTGCCATTCAAGACAAATTAAAGATATAACAGAAAAACACAGCAGTGTGTCTGGTCCCTGGGACAAACAAGAAATCTGGGTCAAAAAAAGAACAGAGGAAACTCTGCAGCTTTGAGAATACAAACCACATCAGCTAAACATGAGACACAACACAGCAGACAACAGTACGGACACATGAAACATCAGGAGAAATAAAGTCTGCATGGTCTACAAGCATTTGTGGCATTTGCTCTGAGTGATGCACTTGCAGAAGACACACCACGAACAGCTACATCCTACTGGATCTAACATAAAGCCACATGGTATTAGTTCACAAGGAGAGATTTGGTTAAGAACCCTGCAACCACATATGATTATCATACAGTACATCAGGATCTCATTTAAAACAAGCAGCAACAGACATACAACATATTAGTCCTGTAACCTTTTACCAAACACACAATCATGTATGTTGACACGCTGTTACCTCAGATGTTGCTTTAGGAATTAAAGCAATAAGCAGTCAGATGGGTTAGTTGCTTAAAGGGGCGATCAGTTATAATTTTACTGGGTCTTTGCACAATATATAATAAATGGATCAGCAGGGGCGTGTAGGTGTTGCTGATCAGTGTCAGTCACCTCTGCGTTATCTCAATGGCAAAGCAGGCCTGGCTCAGTGTATTTCCTGGTTGTGTCATTGAGGACACACTGCCCCAGCAAGTGCAAGAATGTGCTTTGCATTACTGTCTGCATAGACAGGCCAAATCCTCGAGACTAGCGTGAGCTACGCTGTCATGATTGACAAATGATCTAGAATTGTGTCCGACCTGAATGGACACAATGACAAACAAGGCTTGGCAGGGCTGTCAAGAGAAGTCAAAGTCTGCAGTGACAAGAGAGGTTTTTTGTAACAACTAGAATATTGAGAGAGGCACAGACAGGTTTGGTATGTACAACCCCAATGCCAAAAAAGTTGGGACGCTGTGTAAAATGTAAATAAAAACAGAATGCAAATGCTTTTTGACCCCTATTCGATTGAATACAGTAGAAAGACGAGATGTTTGATGTTCAAACTGATAAACTTTATTGTTTTTGGTAAATATACACTCATTCTGAATATGATGCCTGTGACACGTTCCAAATAAGGTAGAACAGAAGCATGTTTACCAATGTGTGACATCAACTTTTCTTTTAACGACACACAGTTAGTGTTTGGGAACTGAGGACACTACTGTTGAAATTTTCAAAGTGAAATTCTTTAAACTTCTGCTTTATATACGACTTCAGCGCCTCAACAGTCCAAGTTCTCTGTTGTCGTGTCTTGTGCTTCATAATGTTCCACGTATGTTCAGTAGGAGACAGGTGTGGACTGCAGGCAGGTCAGTCTGGTACCTGCACTCTGTCACTACGACGCCACGCTGTTGGAACACATACACCATGTGTTTCATTGTCTCGCTGGAATAAGCAGGGACGTCCCTGAAAAAGACGTCGTCTGGGTGGCAGCATATGTTGCTCCAAAACCTGTATGTACCTTTCAGCATTCATGGAGCCCTCACAGTTACCCATGATGCCATGGGCACTAACACACCTCCATACCATCACAGGTGCTTTGAATTTTGAGCTGGTAACAATCTGGATGGTTATTTTCCTCGTTAGCCCAGAGGACACAACGTCCATGATGGACTGGTCAGACCATTTTGTGTCAGTCCGTCTCAGATGAGCTCAGGCTCAGAGAAGTCGGCACTGTTTCTGGATGTTGTTGATATCTGGCTTTCACTTTGCATGGTAGAGTTTTAACTAGTATTCATAAATACAGCGATGAACTGTTCATTGACAATGGTTTTCTAAAGTGTTCCTGAGCCCATGTAGTAATATCCTTTATACAGTCAAATTGGTTTTTAATTCAGTGCTGCCTGAAGGATTTTAAATTGGTTTTCAGGAGAGATTTCTCCGGATTATCTGAAACTTTTCATGATAATATGGATTGAATCCATGAATTTCTTGCAATTTTGCTTTGAGAAAGGTTGTTCTTTTAAACTGTTGGACTGTTTGCCTACGCAGTTTTTCACAGAGTGACCATCCTTGCTTTTGAACAATTGAGTCTTGCGAGGATGCCCCTTTTATACCCAAAAATGATACTTAATTCAATTACTAATTAACCTATGGAATGTTTTAAACAGGTATTTTTGGGGGGGCATTTCACAACTTTCCCAGTCTTTTATGGCTCCTGTCCTAACTTTTATGAGACGTGTCACAGGTATCAAATTCAGAATGAGTGTATATTTACAAAAAAACAATAAAGTTTGGCATGAACATCAAAAATCTTGTCTTTGTACTGTATTCAACCAAATACAGGTTAAAACAGATTTGGAAGTCATTGCATTCTGTTTTTATTTACGATTTAAACAGTGTCAAAACCTTTTTGGAATTTGGGTTGTAGTAGGAAGTGGGGAAAAATACACTTTCACAGAGTTGTACCTTCTTTTTTTGGTACAGTCACACATCAAGGTAGATTGTCAGCATGGCACAAATGAACCAATAGATAAAAACAAAAAATGTTTGAGGAGAAAAGCTGATTTCCAAACCAATCAGTGGTCATAACAATAAGCACTCCTGCCATCTCACAATCCAATATGGCGACTGTATGCGTTACAAATTAGTAGTTTGATTTGCAAACTAAATACAATCTGATATGGTGTTTTTTGGACATGAGATAGTGTCCATGATGAAATTAGTGTTTAGTGACCTTGAATGACAGACTTGACTTGAGTTTACATGAATTTTGATGTTGAAATTACAGTCGGAAAATGGTAAATGGAGTAAATTCTACATAGCACAAACACAACGTCAGGTGTTGGCATGGAGCCTACTATCACTCACTATTTATGCCACAATATTGTGTGCCACATTTATGTGTGATACAGTGTTATTAGTTTACTATTAATCAACTTACTTACAAATTAATGACATGATACTTGCCATCTCTAACAATAGTACTTCAGTATTAGCATAGCCACTGATCTGAAGAACATCTCCATTTTCACAAATTAACACGTCACAGCAAACTCAGTATAACCTACTCTAAATTCACTGCACCACAGTCAGAGGAGTCTTAAATATGTACTGTGATTCACGCCTTCACGAACAGACACATTGTGTTAATTATGTCATACACGGCACTATAGTCAGGCTGTTAGAACGGCAACCTTCAGGTCCTCAACAAATGTTAGTAAAATCACACTATGACATTTCAAGACTGTTAGTAAAGCTACTAAGTTGCCAAACTGATTTTGACATGGCTCTACAGAGGTAGTGTGTGAGCTCTCCTACAAGCCACACCAGAAATAAATGAACATCTACACTAAACTGTGAGGCCAAGCAGGTAAGAGAGATAGAGGTGAAGAGAGACACACTGCACACTACGTGACTGGCATACTCACTACGGGCCATACTGGTGGCAGCAATAGGGGGTGGGACCTCTGATGAAACTGAAAGATGGTGAAAACATGGTGAGAGGAGCAGGAGCTCTCCTCAACAAGAGCAACTCGGTGCTGGGTCACTTTTGTTTTTACTCTCTTGGTGATAAGGAATTCCTCTGGAACATTCCTGTGGAACAGTATGTCTCCTCTTGTTTTTCAACCACTGTGGCCCAACAACACATACATTGCCTTCTTGCATTGCATCCTATGTAACTGGAATGTCCACTGGAATGTTAATTCAAACTTTGCAAGAGGAAGGGGGGAGCTGGGACAACAGTGTTTTGGCTGACAGCAGGGCTCAGGTAGTTACTCTACGACATAACTGAAATACTTGTTATCATCATACTAATAGATACTTAGTTACAAAAACCCAAATCTAATACCACACACTAAAAAACACTGTTTAATTCCCATAAGGACTTATATTTTATGTTTAAACAGCTACAGAGAAGTCAGTGCCTGAGGCAGGCCGTTCTCATTCTGAAGTCATCAAATACCACCCCTTTGTCAATGACACAGATGCCAAAAGCCACGTTTTGCAGTGGTATGGTATGCCGCAGGGCAGCCGTGTTACAAACTGAGGCTGCTCTGCTCTGTTACAATATGCTGCCGGTCAGCAATTCATAACATGGCCAGACAGCAACTGCGGGGGCCATATGATACACCACTAGATGGTTACAGTTTAAAACACCAGTGGTAACGACGTAACATAAGGAGCTGGAATGTCCCTATAGGGTGGGCAGCTGGGGTGATGGATGGATCCAACAAACTCCAGACTTTAACCTGGGAGCCCAATGTTCGCTTTTTCCTAAACCACATGCTTTTGTTGCAGGGTTAGGGTTGTTGAATAAACCTAACCACCCACTTTTGTTGCCTAAACCTAACCATGAGCTTTTGTTGCCCAACCCTAACAATGTGCTTTTGTTGCCTAAACCTAAACACTGCTTTTGTTGCCTAAATCTAACCCTAACCCGCCTTTGTTGCTTAAACTTAACCACCCACTTTTGTTGCCTAAACCTAACTGTGTGCTAATGTTGCCTTAACCTAACCATGTGCTTTTGTTGCCTAAACCTAACCACCCACTTTTGTTGCATAGACCTAACCACCCACGTTTGTTGCCTAAACCTAACCATGTGCTTTTGTTGCCTAAACCTAACCCTGTGCTTCTATTGACATTCTGCCAACAGTTGACACAAGCTTTTGTTGCCTAAACCTAACCATGTGCTTTTGTTGCCCAAACCTAATCATGTGCTTTTGTTGCCCAAACCTAACCACCCACTTTTGTTGCCTAAACCTAACCATGTGCTTTTGTTGCCTTAATCTAACCATGTGCTTTTGTTGCCCAAACCTAACCCTGTGCTTCTATTGACATTCTGCCAACAGTTGACACAAGCTTTTGTTGCCTAAACCTAACCCTGTGCTTTTGTTGCCCAAACCTAATCATGTGCTTTTGTTGCCCAAACCTAACCACCCACTTTTGTTGCCTAAAACGAACCATGTGCTTTTGTTGCCTAAACCTAACCCTGTGCTTCTATTGACATTCTGCCGTTGGTTGACGCTTTCTTTTGTTGCCTAAACCTAGACATGTGCTTTTGTTGAGGTCCTGGCTTTGGTTGTGGCATCCTAGATTGTCAACAGCAGAAGGATACCTGGCACATAATATGTAGACGTGAAGGTCCACTATCAAAGCGGCAATATGTGATGACTTGGGATGAGAACGTGTTGCCTGAGGTGTTGAGAGCTACTGCCATTGCCTTTGACCAAGGCCTTGGCTTCAGAACAGGAAATGGTCCCCTGATGATGGACTTTGGCTGCCCACTGCTCCTTAATATTTAAGATGGGGGTAATGTTGAGAACAAATTTCCCCAAAGTACAGTGTATCACTTAAAACAGAATAGGTTCCCCTATAACTTTAGAGCTATTGCCTGTAGGCAATAAGGGAGCTTCACATGGAAACAAAGCAAACTATTTCTGCAGTGCTTGTAAGACTTCAGTTGCTTGTTGAGCATCCTGTGCTGCCTTCTGATTTGTTCAGCAGTGAAAGTACAGCGTCCGCTTTCCTTTTGTACCTATGCCAACAGCCTTTTGTTTTGGTACTAGCAGTTTCGTTTACAGCAACAACTAGCAATTAGTTCTAACTTGTCAGATTTCTACAAAGTCTAGCCTACACTCTTCTGAAGCATAACACACTTACAAGCACCACACACACACTGTTATTCTCCTGAAACCAAAACAATGCCAAAGGTAATGTTTGGAAATGCTTATACATAACTCATTGGTCCAAATCTGAATGCTATACAGCAACAGAGAAGATGCAGCAGTAAGCATATGCCCTGCCCAAAGAAAGCTGCAGCTCTTCACCACCTGCACCTTAACAGAAACGAGGAAGCTATTTACAGCCTTTCTTATTATGCATCGTGGTAACCTCTGAGACACTGTCATCAAGTCTAATGGCCAAATTACAATGCCAAAATAAAAGCACACCACAAGCACAAATTGGAATCCTAAAGATTTCAGGGAATTGAAGGCCTGAATATTTAAACCTTATGATTCTACATGGGGCAATTTATGTGCAAGGTCGCCCTGCTTTTAACATTAGTACTGGTAAATATTCTAATTCCATGTTAATTACCACATGATAATACAAGTGTATTCCTCTTTGTGGTCTCTGAAGACAGCATACCATCTTTAAAGACATGATCTAACACCCATTGGCTGAACTGCTGTAGTGCACAAGTACAATATACCTTATTCTAGGGAGACACCGAAAGAAAGTCTGAAAACTACGAGCAAGTAATACTAAAGAAGCAAGGGTAACACTAAGGACTGGGGTACAAATAGCACACTTGCTATAGACTGTACTGTAGCACTGTCATATCAGTCTATGACACTGCTAAACAAACCTGAAGCTTCATTAGAGTTACCGAATGGACTGCCCTCTGGAAAATTAGTAGAACAGGTAATGATATGAGTATCATTATGTAGGGAAACGAAGATTCCAGGTTTTGTGGGTTTGGATGATGACTTCTGTGGAATGTTTCATTCTTTAAAATTCAAAGCAATGTCCTAATACAGAGATAATGGTCAAAGTAAAGCAAATAAATGCAGTGAAGATGGAATCATGAGGAAAATAAAGTAGACAAGACAGGAGAAAATAAAACTTACTTGTGAAAGAATACCCTGAGAGGTCCAGTGGAATACAGAACAGATGGAAAACCATGATGAGAAAACAATAAAACAAAAAGCAGAAACAAAGACAATGAAATGAGAAATATGAACAATGAAAGAGGGCCACACTCTCCTGCCACATCATTAACCCACTGTCACACTGCTACTGTGTCTTATTGGAATTTCTGTCTGCAGCAAATCTTGCTTCCCTTTGTTGTACAGCTTAATATGACTGTGATAATACTTCTACTGTATTACCCTCAAAATTAGAAATGTGTCTTTTTAATGACCTTGTGCTAAAATGTGACTTTGGTCATAGCAGGGATTCAGTGTTATCTTCTAAGATCCATTGGGTTTCTGAATGGCAATCACATGCTACTGTAATGTAATACAACACATTAAATGGGACCTATTATGCTTAGTTTTGGGTTCATGCTTGAATTTGGGTTTCTGCTATAACGCTACTAGGTGCCAGAACTCTGTTTTAGCACCTGTGTCTTTAAACCCCCCTACTGAAAAAGCCATGTCAGAAATGACTGGTCAGCATCTCCAGCATGGATGTATAAAGAGACATTTAGTGATTCTCAAAGTCAAGGAAGGATCCTTGAACATCTGAATTTCAAGGAGGCTACGTCACTGAATCTCGCCAAAGGACTGTTCCAGCGTCACGGATCCTTTGAATTCTACCTGAGAACCGAGTCCTTCCTTCAGAGAATTTTCAAGGATGCATGTTTGTATCCTCAGCAGCATCAAGCACCCTCAATTCTTTGAATTGAAGGCAGCGCCTCTTCAGTGACACACACACCTGGGCAATTGCTAGCCTCTTCTAATATGTGTTCACTGAATGCTAGAAAGAAGTCTTGCCTAGTCTCTGTAGGACGAGACTTGGAAGAAGATATTCTGCCAAGGGAGGATCCGTGATTGTGAGAAACACTGCTTGATACAGTGTTGGAGGTGGGACCCTGTTCATTCCTATGAAAGTTGCTCAGTGGTGCATGAAGCCAAGAACGTTCAACTGCAACGTATAAAGTGACCCAGATGATCAGCGCTGCTTTTGCATCACTGGGTCCATAGAACAGGCACACTAAAGACTTCCGCCGGCCGAACCAGCTACTTCTGGTTTAGTGCTCCGCTAAATGGAACAGGGATAGACTTAGTTATTCTTGTGGCTCTGCTGGACTTCCCAAATGTTATTGTACTGAATATATCAAATCCATTAATAGTAAAATGAGTCATTTCACAGGGGTTGTGATGCTTGACATAATGTATCCACTGATTTAGCGATGTCTCCTTCCCATTGTAAGTCTATGGGAAAAAAGTCTTTTTGGGCCCAGTGGCATCATAAAATTGTAATTTCACTGTTTGGCTGCTACGAAAATTGGCTTCAAAGCCCGGCGCACTTCCTGAGGGCCTGGTTTCAGGGTCTTCTGTATCCAGGTATCCCTGCACCATCATTACAGCTGAGGAATGACTATAACAGAGTACACTGGCACTTTTCTACCATGAAAAATCTCCAGTTAAAGCTTCTAAACCAAAATCTTCACAGCCGGACACGGTGCAGTAGGAATATGATTCAAAGTCATGGAAAAAATGACAACACTGGCAACAGAGGTTGCATGTAGCTACATTTAGCAGTGTAGGCTATGTAAAGTAAAGTGCCTGGAGCAGATGACCCTGTAAAAAAATATCTGTCCCAGCTGATGTCATCATGTCTCCAAAGTATAAAAGAGCATTGGAAACAGAGGACTCAGAACAGTCTAAAGCCTGAGATTTATGCTCACAGACATTACTTTTCCATATTTTTACCTCGCTTGAATTTTTTTCCAGGTTAAATATTTATTATATATTTATTAAAATTTGTTTATAAAACAGAAAATAAGGAAAAGCATAATAGGTCCGTTTATATGACAACAGCAAACAGTCTAAGCTAATTTCTACATGTTCTTTTTTGATTTAACTTCTGTAGCTAAATGTTTAACCTCAATCCCAAGTTTATACATCTGAATAAAAGAAATTCTAGTTAGACTAGTGTAACCTCAAATAATACATCAGACACTGATTTTTGCTGAGACATCTTGAAGTAGGACAACGACTCTCTCTTTAGGGAATCAGGCAAAATAAGGAGGATGCTGAGGAGGGCTTTTTCTACAGAAGCAGCAGGGTGATGAAGCACAGATGGAAGCGTGACACAGAGGCTGGTACAAACTAAAACAAAGATTTATTCATGACCCTGATTTGATACGCTGACTGAGAAATAGGTCTGTTGCCTTCTAATTGCAGCCTGGATAAAGTCGCTCTGCAGTGGAGAGAAGGATTTAAGGATAATTCTGGTTTATCATGATTTGGGTCTTATTTTAGAAGTTTGGGTCATCATTTCTATCAGTAATAATCATCATGTAACCCACCAAAGAAATTGGGAACACAGTCTGACAGGACGAGAAACACAGATGAGTCAGACAATCCGAAAACAAAAACAAAATAAAATTATTAACCAGACTGTCCATTCTTAACAACCATAGTATTTTACAGCCCAACTCTCTGGCTTAGTTTTGACCCCCTGTGCTTACTATAGTTGAGCATGCATATCTCTTGTCCATATCTTGTCCAATTAGGGATTCTTACCAACATTTCTGTTGCAATCAATTTGGATTTGACCTCCAAATAAAAGGGTTTCGATCATCTGGCTAAACTGTTGTCTTGACTACAACATTTTTGATCATTTTACTGCTTATGTTTCCTGACTTTGTTCAATGTTGCTTTGTTCTTGGAAATTATTTTGGCAGATATAATGTCTTCATACCTCATACAAGTGATAACTGACACCATGAAAATAATAACAAAGCTGCAATAAAGCAGAATTGTCCTTGAAACTGCAAGTTTCTCACCTCATCATAACTCTGTAATCAAACATTCGGAAAGAGACCTATAGTATGTAGCCACCAATTATCATACTTATTGCTTTCAGGAAGTAAGGCTCTTTTCTCATGTTACAATGTGAAAAGTTACTCTATGATATCATGTGGTATTTTATGAAACACTTACTGCACTGCAATGTAAATCCAGCCGTTCTCATTCTGAAGTCGTCCGATACTGCCGCTTTGTCAGTGACACCTGACGCCAAAAGCCAACTTTCACAGCTGTATGATATACCAGCAGGCGGCATCAGTTTGTAATTCGACTGAACGTAACCTTTCGGAGTGTAATGATATGCCGACGTTTGGCACTTGTTGCAGCAGTATATATCCGGACAGGCGATGTCAGTTCATAACCTGGCCAGATGACAATAGTGGTGGCCGTATGATAAGAACGGGGTCGGGTAAAAATTCTGCCAGTAACAACGTAATTTAAGGACCTGGAAAGTCCCTATAGGGCAGGGAAGAGTGGTGGTGGATGGATCCAACAAACCACGGACTTTTACCCAGGAGCCTGGTGTTTGCTTCTTGTATGAATGTAGAGCCAAATCATGATGTTTTTGTAAACCTAACTACGTGCTTTTGTTGCCTAAAACTAACTATATACTTTTGTTGAAATCCTGGCATTAGTGGCAGCATCCCGGAACATCAACGGCGGACGCAGGAAGATACCTAGTGTGTAATATGTAGACATGAAAGGCCACTGACAAAGCGGTAATATGTGACCACTTGGGATGAGAACATGTTGGTCAATCAGATGTTGGAGAAAACTGTTCTCCTCTGTATAGAGGAGGCACACTCTCAGCTTCAGTATAAGAGCGATTTTTGGACTTCTTTATCAGGACAGTAATCTTGAACTGGTTCCATTCGAGAATTGTTTCTAAATTATCCAGTCCATTGGAATCATGTGTCTCCGAGCTTATCAATTCCTTTAAACGATGCTGGCATGATTTTCTGACAGTTGCAAAAACTAATGACTTCAAACTCATGCTTCTAAACTGCTGGAAGCTTGCAACCAACAGGAGCCGGGAGAGAGGAAGAAACGGTTTAAAGTGTGGCTTCATTGAAAAAAAATGAAAAATGACAACAGTGCTGCTTGTAATGTCTGTAAAACGATAATTTCAAGTGAGGCTGAAAACATCAGCAATATGCTGAAACATCTGTCTACACAACACAGGCCTAAATTCCAGGAATGCCATGTATTTGACAATCAACGCAGTGTTACTGCTTCCAAACCGAGCAGCAGGTTGCTTACCGAGGGCAAATATCCTGTTGTAATTACATTAGCACCACGCAGACAGGTTTGATCTTTGACTAAGAAAACCAAAATGAAAACAAATGCTGTATAGATAGTCTCTTATTTCATCCATTTTAGAAAACCTGTGCAGGCCTACGTTTTTTCTACACAGAGGATTGATCAAGAATCAATGAAGAAATTGATAAAGACCCAAACAGATAGACCGAATCAATAATGGCACTGGTATCAATGAAATCTTATCTTTCCGTCCCCACTTCTTTCGGCCCCTTTTATCATTCAATGAGAAAGCATTAGCTGACATGTTGTCGCATGTAATAAACACAAAATTGATGCATTTAATGTCAAGCCAGCGCATTCTGATTGGTGATGACAGGTGTTGCGCACCTGCTCTTTGCTGTTAGGATGCAGCCGATGCCATATGTCTAACACAGCTGTGATTTGACGCCAGATTATTCACCAAGAAGGACTTAAAAGGTGAGAACACAGAGGGTGACAGCAAGTCGCTCCAAAACATCCTGCAAACTGGTGTCAAAGCCGTGGTGGTTGACGATGAAATGTGACATGGTCAGAACTCCCCTCATCTGCCTGACAAGTAGGTGTTCTTGTATCTCCCTTGTTCCGTTAAGGTGACTCTTTCTACTTTCCCACAAACACAGCGAGATAGAAAATTCCCTCCACCTCCAACATTTCATCATGCGCTGCCACTTCCTTCACGAAATATAAACAACCTTCAGTAGGGCTTGACCCCTGACTGCTATATTAACAATGTGCGCTGTCACTGAACTATAAATACAAAGCTGACACTTCTTCACACTGAGGTATAAATCAGCCTTAGAAATGCACAAGTACTTTCCAGAAAGCTTTCACTAAATCACCTGAGTTGTGAGCTAAAAAGACAGAGCAATGCGAAATGGAAGGAGGCACGCTCCGCCTTCTCTGCTGCAAACATTCATGAGGACAGAGGCACACAATACTGCCCAGTGATAAAGACACATAGATTATGCTTTGCACAGTTAACACTATTAACCAAGTTGGATTATGAAGTGACATTGTGAATCGTGGTTCCTTCTGGCCTGGCTGGAAAAAGACTGCACCGGGGGGCTTGGCTGGAGAATAGAGGAGAGTAGGGGTGAAAGCATCTGGGCTCAGCTAGACATGAGCAGGCGGTGGAGTGAGCAACAGCATTAGGTTCAAAGCAACAGGGTCAGAGGAGCGCTTACTGAGGGCAGGGACACGAGCAGCGAGGGCAGTACTTACGGACTGGCTCGGTCTTGAAAGTCCTGGCCGGGCTGCTCTCGCCTTCGCCCTTGCCGTTGATGGCTGACATCTTGACCTCATAGGTGGTCTCTGGCTTCAGGCCAACAATGGTGATCGTGGTCATGTCTGTTGGAGGCAAGTGGGTGTTAGTCCATGCAGGTGTACAGGGAACCAAGAATGAACAGAAAATAAAGGCACAATGTGTTGTTTGTTCTTTATGTGCGTGAGATGTAACAATATCTGTTATGGTTAACTGTGTGTGGAGGCTAAATTAAAGCTTAGCCGTCTGTTATTCATACAATATGTCAGTCTTTTGTGAGTAACTAGAGAACAATGCTTTGTTTGAAAAATGTAAACATAGGCCTTTTTAGGCATTTAACCAAAGATCTGATGCAGTCGTTTTTTCCTTGGGAAGACAGTCTGTGATAGGTCCACATAAGTAAATATAGATTTTCTTTCTGAAACTCAGTGGAACAAAAACTGATGAATCTCACAAAGATGTTATTTTGTTTCAGTTTTTGCTGACTTGTGGTGGTTGTCACATATTTCACTTTTTCTCTGGCATTTCTTTTTGCCTTTCCCTGTTCCATTGATTCTGCCATATTAGATGGCTGTTGATATTCATTTGTATCGTTACTCTCTGTAGAACTCAAGTGGACTAGGAACCATTTTGTGGTAATTAATGGAGTATTACAATTTTCTGGTTTTGCTTTTTGTCTTCTGTTTGTTTACAGACTGAATCAGCTTGACATCATCCTACCAATCACGATCACTTCCAAGTAGACAGTCAGGATTTTATTTCGATTGCAGAGATATGTGAAATTGGCAAACTTGTTTATTTCATTTGTCATTTTTAAATTTAACTGTAATGTTTAAAGAGATAAAGTTAAACACTTCAGTGTGACCTATCTGATGTTTCTGCTGTGCTTATTTTATGTGCTGTGCTGCTTTGCTATCTTCTTTGATAAATTGGGTCTACTGATACGGAGACTAAATGCTCCTTTTACCCTCTTTCCTTAAAAATACCTATAACATCAATCAGACTTTTTGCTGCTCTTTTTATATCGAGCACTTTGACACTACAGCAAACACATCTCATCATTAAAATAAGACAACAAATTACTCTATCTGTCACAGCCACACATACAAATAAAACTGACACAATAAGAACTGAATCAAACGTTTTTTAAAGATCTGATTGTTGCAGCCGATCCTTCGGCCATTTGAAACGATTTGGATTCTTCAGCACTGGTTTGGAAACACAAACAGACTCTGAAGAGTTCATTGGAGGTACTGTTGTTGACCAGGCTGCAGCAAAATGTATTTTAGCCACCTAAAAATATCAATATCAGTGTAAGTGTGCGTTATATTTGAATACTTTTACTCTGTTTGAACCTATACACTAACCAATATAGAGGATGTATCATATCGTATTGTCTCGTATCGCATTGTATCGTATCGTATATCAGCAACTCCTGTGTTTTGCTAAGTAAAATTACTCTTTTTGTCAGTGTAGTCCAGTGGCTTATGTATTTCCTGTAAATCCTATTTTCAAATGCATCTACTGTTGTATACTATCTCACTTTCCACTGAAAAAAAAAAACTATAAGAAACTGAAAAAAAAAATAAAATAATTTAATTTGGTAATTAACTCTCAGATGCCTATTATCTTTTTCTTTCTTTATTTGGACACCAATTAGCACCAGCATACGCATCAGCTATTCTTTCTGGGGTCAACACACAGTCATACACACTTAAACATAATATCACAGATAAACAAAACAGCTAATCTTGTCAGTTTAACATTAGACACGACAAAGAGACAAAACTGTCATCCCTATAACTCAAATTAAGCAAAACACAGAATTATAACTCAATCACAGTTCCTAGGAATCCATAGCAAACTTTTTGATCTTCATACTTATCATGAATCACTGAAACTAATGAAACTAATCAAGTAATTTTCAATAAACAGAAATCCCTGCCTGACTGACCTTGAATTATGTTTTTATCCATCCTCTGCTTTCACATATTTAATGTCAAGAAAAAAGCGTATTTACAAAACACACAACTCATTATCGTCCAGGGATGATCTCTACTTTCACCCAGGTTTATTTTTAATTCTCACGCCAATCTCATGATTAACAAACATACGCGCTGGCAATGGATTTCACTTGTCCATGGCCCTGTACATGCCTGTTTTCTGTATCATGCTAGGTTTTAGCATTAGGTAGGACAAACTTCTTTTCTGTTACATGTCGTGTCTGATAATTGTGTTGAGCAAATGGCAAGAATAGCCCTTCAGATGATATCTTAGGTGATCATATCATCAGTATAAAACTGAACAAAGCATAGGCTGATCTCTGACAACTCAGTCTGCCATACAGGTCTTTTACATCACTGCAATGCACAGCATGCTACTTTATTTCAACTGTACTCTAATGTAGCTTGATCCAAATTACCGTTTTGATATATTGTAGTGTACATGTTGATCTCACCTGGAAACACAGGACTGTACTTCCTTTACCTTAGGTAATGTGATCATTATCTCTTTCCCCTCCATTAGAAGTCACTCATAAATCCAGAGCAGGCAGTAGCTGCAAGCTTTGAGGTTTCATGATTATACTGCACGTGCAGCATGACATCACAGACAGACTGGAAAGTACTGGAATATAACTTGATTATTCATGGAGACTCAATCACCAGTGTGAGACAGAGACAGATTGTCCGGACTGTGGCCAATAGAATATCTGCCTGTAATGGCCAGTGAGCACAGGGGCTAAGCAGTCCAGCATAATGAGGGACTAATGCCAAGAAAAGGGCAAGTTCTAATCACAGCAGGGTTCTGTGATTTATGATTAGTGGTTTATGTAGAAGAAAAACAAGATAAATTGTAACACAAAGGGGGTCACGTGTAGTAGACTGAAAACAATTAGGCAAACCTGCTTCTGTAATCTTTAATGCAATTTGTATGGATAAAATCAATTAACCAGTAATCACCTGACAAGAAAACATTTTTATAACTTCAGTTGTATGTGTGAAAAATTCCTTAAAGTGCAGAATTGTTGTTTTTCTGGAGGGTAACATTTTGAAAAATTAAAATGTACTACACTGTTTTCATCATTGGTGGCACATTGGTGTAGTGGTTAGTATTGTCATCTCACAGCAAGAGGGCTCCCATTTTGGACCCAGATTGGAGGAGTGGAGTTTGTATGTTTTCCCCATGTCAGCGTGAGTTTTCTCCAGGTACTCCGGTTTCCTCTCACAGTTCAATTACATGCAGGTTAATTGGTGACTCTAAATTGTCTGTAGGTGTGAATGTGAGCGTGAATGGTTGTCTGTCTCTATAGCCCTGTTTCCACCGAGCAGTACGGCACAGTTCAGTTCGGTACATGTTTTTTCCGTTTCTACTGTATAAGTTATGAATGGTGCCAACAGAACCGTTCCTTACCATCTTCATGTTTGGTCCCCCCTCTGTTGGGGTACCCAGCACACAGATCTGGTACTAAAAGGTGGAGCTGTGAACACTGCAGTCTGATTGGTCAGTAGAGGACGGTCACTCTGCTCAGGGCTGAGTTGTGTCTGGTTTTGAGGCTCATGTAACCACTGTTCATACTGTGGAGCGCTGTTCCTGTGGGCTACAGCAACACTAAACCCCTGAGCTTGCCTGAGAAGGACTAAATGCAGAAAGCTGCTATTTTTAAATATCCCATGGAGAGAGACTCTCACTGCAGCCTGTTCTATTTTGTTCTGAAAATCTCTGCGTGCAGACTCGTTCTGTGGACGATAAACCAGGTGCAGACTTTCATCTGTGTCACCACTGATGAGGAAATACAGCGAGTATTGGAGCAGTGAGTGACAACAACCCTGCCCAAATTTAAGAGGACTGTTTGCAGTGGAAACACTAGGGTCTAGGTACCATGTCTGAAGGGTTACTTTTGGTTCCAAAGGTACTGTACCGACCCCTTAACAAGATAAGCAGTTACTGAATATAAATGAATGTAATTATCATGTAAGCAAACAGGGTTTCAATCAGGATAAACACAGAGATGTGTTTCTTGACTTTTGTCTTAAAAAGCCACTTGGCTAGTATCTCACCCTTTAACACAAAGTATGGTGATTTCATGGCCGAGAATGAATCTAGGCGCTGATGCAAAACGGCTGAGATTTTTTTTCCTGCTACAGTGACTCATAGAAAATTCTGAATGTGATTCACATTTACGTCTCAATGAGAGTGACTTTCAGAATGAAACATGCATAAGTGAGTGCTGGGGGAAACTGTATGAATACAGCTAAAAAGCATAAGGCCAAATTAATTCACAACTGAGCTTTTAGCACCACCAGCGTCAGTAAAACTGATGCTGCTGCAGAAACCATTCATGTTCAGATGAGATTTCCAGCTGGCCCGGAGTAATTTACCAATGATTTCCACATGCTGGTTTCCTCGGCTTTTCTAAAAGGTTATCTTCTCCACAAATCATAACAGTTGTTACAAATTGGACAGACTTTGGTGTGTGTTAATCACGGTGTTGCCACAGTCAGTGCATGCTTACTGCAGCATCCAGGACAGTATATTGATGTCTGAGAAAATGAATCTTTGAAGGTATACAGGAAACATATAGCATAAATTATCCGGCCTATTGTCTTCCTCAGCTGATTATTTGCTAAGGTTCTGAGCTATATTTAAAAATACAGCAATTGCATCACATTTTATTGACACAAACACAAATAAAACCTCATGGCTCTGTTTAATTCTTCAAATTTAACCCTGATACATGAAACATATTTGTGCCTTGTGTTTGTCTGTGTGGATTCTGACACCTTTGCAACAATTAGAGGATAAGCCTGGAAATATTTTTTTATTTTTGTCAACAAATCCCATGAAAAAAATGATTCGCTCCAGCTGACAGTTATTGTTGATGTAGGCAAAGCCTGATATATCTTATTCCACTGTGCCATACAACTCAATCGTTGTCCAAAAATCTATTATAAACACATCAATGAGGTACATGAGTGGCATGTTGCTTCATTACTGTGAACACGCTGACTATAATTTAATTTGAGTCAATCCCACGCACACCTTCCTGCTGTCGAAAATAGCCTCCAACAAATGCACTCTCTATTCT